AGTTATTCTCAGTGTAGCTCCAGGACTAGGAAAGCATCTTAAAGGAGAGAAAGGAACAAGGGGCATCAGAGAGAATGGAGGACAGGGGCATCACCTCAAATCGGGACATGAAGTCCTTCAGGTTTGGGAAGGCGTCCAGGCAACCGGGCTCAAATATACGGTTTTGGTCAAGGACATCATAGGCGAGGAAATCCACAAAGGTGATCTGCAGAAGGCCAAGAATGTGTGGGCTGGAACCTCCATAACACATGAAGTAAAAGAACTCTCACTCCCCATTGCACTCCTCGTGTACCTTGTCTCCTGCAAACCATGGCCGCTTCCCCAGGAACTGTGAGTAGAGCTTTAACTTTTCAGGGAGTTCCTCTAAGTACTTTGGCTTCAGTTTCTCCTGAGGAAGAAAACAGCTGTCACCACCCTCAGACACAAGCTCCCTGCACAGACGTGGCCTCCCCAGGGCTGTGTGTGGCCCCACTTGGCCATAGGCAAGCAGCCATTTTTGCCACAACTGGAACTGGGTCAGTGTCCACGCTTCAATTGCACACATCAGCATTTATTAGATTCCAACTGGGTGCCAGACCCTATCTGAAGTGAGGGGAAGGCAGAGAGGAATGTGACACTGTCCTTGTATCTGACCTCACTGACCTCCCGACAAACAGCCTCTGGGCAGCCTCAGAAGCACCCGAGCACCTGGCAGCCTCTGGACCCAGACACCAGCAGAATCCAGGATCCAAAGGACTAAAGGAGCTCAGAGAAAGAAGAAAGTTCCTCCTAATGGGGAGGCAGAAGAATACAATGGACATTGAATAGTTTCCCGAGAGATGAAAAGTTCAGGTTGAAAGGAAGGAGGGAGAGGAATGAAGGCCCTCTGGCTACCTCTGAGCTGTCTGTTATGAAAATGCTCGGATCCCCATGCATGTCAGAGAAGACGCAATTCGAGGGTGCCATTACATTCCTCTGTCTTGTACTTGAGTCTACATATTCTAGGAGCGGAAAGGTGATGTGAACCGGCTGAGAGAAACGACCCATGACACAGGCCAGAGGCCATGAAGAAGATGCTGAACACAAACTTTACCGTCTAGGAATTGAGTTTCTACCCTGGGATACTTGGATCATGTCCTAAGACTGGTGGGAATTGCCTCTGCTTCTGTTGACACGGCATTGGAGTTGTGAAAGCAGCTGCTAACAGTACGGGAAACCACTTGGAGGATGAGTGGTACTCAAGGAGTTAAAATAAGAAAAGACCAGTGTGTGTAGGAATACAAGAGTCCTGGCCCCGAATCCTCACAAATTCTGGGTTGTAGCAGGTCATGGCCAGCTGCATCCGGGTGTCCATGGTCTGGCTCTCCAAAATGTCCACACGAATCTTCTCCTCTTCTGTCTCCCCACCTGCCACCCACAAAAC